AGAACTTTCCCAACACTGGCTATGATGCTGCGCATCTGGCATGCCCTGCGGGCGACCGAGCGAGTTCACGTGACAAAGGAAGAGACAGAGGCTGGTCGTTTGTGTGCAAGTAGGTCGGTCATTTCGGGGCATTGTTTCAGTCGTTTTTAATGGCTCAGGTTTTCAAAAGATCATTTCAAAACCGACCTCAGTAAAATCTTAATAATATTAATAATAATAATAAAAAAAACGAGTTTCAAAAGGGCATTTTCTTTGATAGAGGGCAAACTTCCTAGTGCTTTAGCACCACCTAGTGTCTATGTGTGCACGCCCCTGAGCAGAGGGCATGAGTTGCTCAGCTTTACTAAATATCTTCACTGTATTCATCCAAAGCTGTTTGGGTTTTATCTGCTCTAGTTAGTGAGAACTGAAAGTGCGTTTCAATGTATTTTGTAGCTGCTTTGTGGTATGTTTAGCATCAAATGAGATGAGTGCGGGTGTCAGATTTGTTTTAGTGAATTCAGAAATCTGGTGAACTTTCTGGAACATTTATTTCTTGAAGGGTTATCAAAAGTATCGATACACAAACATTGTATCCTGATACAATGCTAATTTTGGCATGGTGTCGATGCTGAAGACAAGTGTGGTCTGCATGTTTTGGCTTTTGTTAATTTTAAGTTTCTGGTTTATTTATTTTGCACTTTTATTTAACTAGCATCTGTAATCCTTTAGAAAGGATGTTTGTTTGCGAAATTGAAAAAGGATTTTTTTCCAAGTTAAAATTTAGCTAATCTTAGTATTTTGGTTTTTTTTTCCTGGATGCTGATATTGACTTTAAAATGGTGGTATCGTAACAAAAAAACCAAAACAGTACTCTGTACTTTCTCTTTCAGTTGAGGCCTTGATTCTAAATAGATTTTACTGCCGATATATATTAAAAAATCTAAAATTTTTCTTGAGATAAATTCGATTGTTCTTTGGAAATGTTTCATCCCTCAGATTTCTTTTAATGGATTATATCACCTGATTAATTCATCCACATAATTTCTATCAAATAGATCCTAACATTTAGTACTGCCTGTCCTTCTGTCACCTTTTGGACAGAATCTTCTTTAATCTACTAACGATTTCCCAAACTCTCCTATACTTCTTTCCCAGAGCCGTCTGTATATGAACCATCTGTTGGTTTTCAGCCTGTGCCTGAAGCGCTGGGATTTATTAAATTACAAAAACAAAGCTTCAGCTGTGACAATGACCGACTGGATTTACATATGGAGCCAGGAACACCAGAGATAGTTCTGGGTAAACATCTAGAATTCGTCGAGAGGATTATGACTGAGGTTCCTTCCAACAAACAGGTGGAAAAAGAAGACTTCAGAAGAATGTTCCCTGAAGATGAGCAGGGAGAGGATCTGATTAGAGGTATTTTTAGACATTTTCCTTCAGAATTGCAGTTAAATAAAACATATTTTGGTCATAAACACTATTTTTTATAATGTTTTCAGCCAATATCCAGAAATGTACAAGGCGGAGGTTTATATTTGATATATTTCTTGTGTTCTCAGTTGACTTTTCTAGTGTGGATTCTCCAAACAAAACCAATCTTCAAAAAGAAGCATATGTTGATTCATCTCAGAGCTCGTTCTCAGCAAACATTGCTGCTACAAGCAGTCATGAACAAAGTTCTGCCATTTTCACCAGCAGAGTTGAAGACAGGGACTCAGATAAGAGACCTTCAGAATCTGCTGTTGGTTCATCTGCTTTTAAAAACAGCAGCAGCATCGACACGCAGTTTAAGACCCAGCAGAGCTCTAACAGCTCTGAGCTGACTTTGTCCACTGGATCAATTATCAGAGATAATCAGAGGAATTTGATGCTTAATAACCTCGACCCGCTGTCTGACTTTATGATGCTGAGGTCTCAGCAGGTACTTTTAGTTGGTGCAACGTCTCCAAGTTCAAGCATCTCTGCAGGTACAGACATTTTTCTGCTTCTTTTTCTTCTTAAGATAATGATTAAAGATACACGGGTTTTCAGTTTCTATAGATAAGAAATAAGATCATAATAAGAAGGAAACTTCTTATTATCTCTCCATATTGGGAATAAGAAGGAAACTTCTAAACTATTTTGTATCCATTGGCGACAAACTAGAATAGATGGAACAGAAAATCCCTTTATTGTCCCACAAAGGGGTAATTGTGTTTACAGCAGCAAAAGGTTATAGCAGAAGTAGTCACACCATGTGAACCTTAGAAATGTGTATAAGAATAACAGATGATAAATAATGTACTGTACAGTGTTTTTACAATATAATATCTTGAGAATGACTAATCAATAAACAGCTGTGGACATTTTTACAGTAATGGTATGTAGAAAATAGCAGTGACACCAGAGTTATGCAAAAAAAAATAAAAAATGACGTTATTTAACTGAGTAAAACAGAAACTGCTAAAATCAGCAGGAATGTAACAACTTATGAGGTTGTTGGGAAAAAATATGGTTTTAAAGTCTTCCAGCTGCTGGGAGGAAGGATCTGAGATAACGCTGCCTGGTGCATTTAATCTTTAGCAGTCTGTCATTGACCGAGCCGTACAGTCAAGCAACTGCTTCATGTGTGGAGTAGGAAACATTATCCAACAGAGATGTTAATTTAGTTAGAATCATTTTGTTTCCCTCCTCCTGCACTGATTCCAGAGGGCATCCAATCACAGAGCTGGTTAAATCTAGAAACAGGAAGTAGTGACAAATAATGATTGACTGTATTACCAGAAATTCTTACAAATGAATTTATTAGTCACTTTTTAAGCTCCTCATAGCCTGTAATCATTTTGGCACATGACTCTTGGCCAATGGGCCTTCCAATGGGAGAATGACCCAAATCACAACTCAGAACTTTTTTTGAACATCTTCAACCCTTTTAAAAACATATTTCAAAGCTAAGTCTGAAAAAGGGAACCAGTTTTAACACAATACCAATTTTATACAGTAAATCTCTATGAAGGAAGTGCATTTTAAAATGGCACCTCTGATTCCATGTTAGTCTGGGGTTTGTTTATTTCTGGGCCTTTATGTACAGTTCTGACTTGTTTAGATTGGAAAAACAACAAAAACTAAAAACATGCTCTAAAAATATGCTCAGTTTTCTGCCAAATATTTGTGAAGATTCTCAGTCCTCCAGGTCATGGTCAAGCTTGAAAAAGTTCAGTCTAGGCAACTGGATGTAAATTTTTCTAGAAGACTTTTCGCCTCTCTTAATCTTGGTGCTTCCCACCACTAGTTAGAACTGAAGAAGCCTCTAAGATGAAAGGGGAAACATCTTCTAGAAAACGTCACGTCCAGTTACCTAGACTGAGTTTTTTTCAAGCTTTTCTGCTAAATCTAAACCTTTAGGTAAAATTTCCCCCCTGCTTTTTGTGACAGCAGCAGAGATGAATCATCCATCACCAGAGAAGGAGCAGCAGCCACCTCCAGAACAGATAAGGAGCACAGACAGGAGGCCTGCATACATGAGCATCGCTGTGGTAGGAGATGCTTTTAGAGAGCAGAACCCTGCTGCTCAGCTCGAGGGTCGCTCCGTCTGTGACTCAAACCCTGAGGAGAAACATCACAGCCGAGTCATTCAGGTTCAGCCTACAGGTGCATATTTATTATTCTTCAACTTTTTCTAAAATCTTTCATTAGATGTAATTTAATCCCAAGGAATGTCTTTGTTTTAAAAAAGTTATTGCAGCACTCCATCCTGCTAATCATTGATATCATAGACATCTTCCTTTAAAGATGACTTTCTCTCTTGCTGATTGATCGTAAGATCAAACTAAACAAAGGAAACCTTTTCCTTAATGCTGATGCTTCCCTGCAGAAAGTCAGCAGCACGCCTACAATGAGCTGCTGGCCTTTGCCCAGCCGTGCTTGAGTTCTGCCAGACAGCTGGGGCTCAACTTCCCCTCGTGGGGAGACTTCAGCTGCTTGGCCCCGGACCAAACTCACTTCCTGCTGAAGCAGCAGGAGAGGGCCCTCTGCAGGATCCCAGCAGAGAGCACAGAGCTCATTCGGGGTACTGTATGACCTGTCACAGTTTTCATTTGAATTCTATGGTGTCTGTTTCCTGATCTGTTTATTTCAAATTCACACTCCTGTTCTTATTTCTCCAGACCAGGAGCAGCTTTGTAACCTGGTTGCCCTCATCCATGTGTTAGTGACATTCAAAGAGCTGCTGCTGAAGTGTGACCTGAGCATAGCTGTGGGTAAGTAGGAACTGATGTCTCCTGCTGTTTCCCTTTAAAGCAACTTTATTCCAGTAGTTTTTGGTTTAAGTTAATTAGATGTAAAAATGTTGAAAGCCTGCTGAGATCTTTTACTAGCGTCCACACATTTAAGCCACAGTCAGATACAGGGATAAAGATAGAAAGAAACTACAAAGAAAATGACAGATTTTTCTTTTTGTAGCTTTTCCTGGTTTTGTAATTCCAAATTACTCATATGAGGAAGTGAAAGTCAGTATATGTCATCTGATGTTTTCTATGATGCTTCTCCTGATCAAGAGTACCTGACGAAAGCAGCTGAGGCGTGTGTGGATCAAAGCCTGATGAAGCTGCTGAGGAGGCTGCAGATCATCCTCTTCCTCAGCCAGAAGGAAGAATCCAACTTCAAACTGCTGGAACTTCAGCAGCTTTTGGCTGAATGGCTTGGAGGCAGAAAAGGAAACAAAAATGCAAAGAAAGTCAGTTTTCTCAACTGCACACATAGTTTTCTAACAATAGCGCTTTTAACTCTTGGAATTTGCTACATTTGGTCACATTAGAGCCTCAAACATGATCATATCCTATAAGAATAGAAAAAACACTACAAGTCTAGACTTTGCAGCAGGATGGCATTAGTGTAGGGTGTTTGCAGTTTGTCAAATGTCATCTAGGGGGCACCACAAACACGTGGAACATTTCTGACCTATGGGCATTATGTGTAGAGGTAAAACTATCATTGGACCTCCTTACAGGGAAACAGAGTGGTAAAAGCAGTATGCTGTGGGGATGATTTTCTTTAGAAGGGATTCGAAAGCTGCTCAGAGCTAATGTTAAGAAGCATAGAGTGAAATACAGGAAAGTCTGGGAAGGGAAGTTAGGAGCTGCAAAAGTCCTGAGAGATGGATGGATTTCACCTTCCAGCAAGACAATAGGCATAAAGATACAACCAGAGCTGTGATAGAATAGATAAGCTTAAAGAGAATATTGTGTTAGGTTTATGTCCTGACTTTTATCTACATGAAAATTAACCATGAGTGCTCTTTATCCAGTCTGATTGAGCTATTTCACAAAGAGAAATTAGCAAAACTGTCTCTCTCTAGTTAAACATAGCTGCTATAAAGATAACTGAATAGATCTGAAGCTGTAGAGAAAGGTGCCACTAAGAAGTTACCTGACTACAAATGTAATGTTCAACAAAAATGGTTTAGTTTTGATTTTGACTTCTAAAATGTAAACTAAACAGATTTTCTATCATATTAAATCTGAATAAAATTATGTGACAAAATGTGAAAACCTTTAAGGAGCTAAATTACTTTTCCAAGATGGTGTAATAATGAATGAATCCTCAGATATAAACTGTTTTCATGTTTCTCAGATGCTCATCATTCTCTCTGTGGAGTCTCATGAAACCAAATCCATGATAATCAGCAACTTGAGTAAAGTTTGTGGTGAGAACTTTTTTTCATAACTAACAGTCTCTCTGCAGCAATCAGCCTTAAAACCAAACGATTCTGATAAAGTTCTGAGTTGACGGTGTTTTCATTGCTGCAGGAGCTGCTGTGAGATCGGTTTGTCCCGATGAGGCACAGAAGAAACTGAACGGTGCCAGTGTGGTCAGCCTGTAAGCATCTGTTCGCAGCAATCGCTGTTGTTTTTGATAGCCATCTCGCATTTTAGTCATTAATATATGGCATAGTTTTGGTCAGTTTTAGTCGGCTAAAACTTAAAAAAAGGTTTTAGTCTAGTTTTAGTCAGTTTTATGTTGCAAAAAAAAAAGTTACCCTTCATAATTTTGAATAACAACCAGATTCTTTACCAGACTGACAGCTCTTGCCTAGATACTACAATAACAGGTTTTGGAATGATGGAATCTTTGCTGTTGGGCAGAAAACTTTGATTTATAGAATATAAATAAACTGGTTTATGAATTAAAGCCCTACGTTATAAAAAAAAAAGTGTCTCAAAAGCTGTGAAAATAGCAGATCTAGTTCAACACATCATATTGACTAATATAGCAGACAGACAAGCTATCAAAAGGTAGAATAAAGGAATGGTTAAGACATACAAAGTTTCCATTCAAAAGCAAATACTTACTGATCTACTATTAATTATGCATTACACACAGATCAATAAACTCTTCATTAGTAAAAAACAAAACAAAAACTTTCTTCTTGCTACTTTGGCAATTTTGGCTTTTTTTCTGAGAAATTGCACCAGGAATGATTGCTGCTCGGGGGTCAAATTAGATTTAAATTTGCAGGATTTTGATATTAAAAACAATGGAAAGAAAACCTACATAATTGCCTTACCTAAATTTAATGAATCTGCTTGCTAAAATGTTGACATATATTAAAGGAAACAGAAAATGTTTTATTGACTATACAAAGAAACATTTACATCATATTTAAACAGAAATGAGAACAATGAGAGAAAAATATTCAAAATGTATGTCTGTATGCATATGCACTTTGGATATGATTTAGGGATTCCATTTGGTAGAAATTAAAGAAGGTTCAGCATCACCTCTTGTGAGCTGGAAGAAATAAAATCTTAATAGTTAGACAAAGGGATTTTTTACTCTTAGCAGAGGATGATTAGCACCATAGTTTATTACCGTATTTTCACGACCATAAGGCGCACCGTACTAAAAGTCGCAGTCTCAGTTATGTGTGCCATTTCTGTATTACACACACACATAAGGCGCACCGTACTAAAAGTCGCAGTCTCAGTTATGTGTGCCATTTCTGTATTACACACACAC